TGGTTTCTTTCATTCCGTTTGTCGCGGTGCCCAACGACGACAAGCTGGGCGCGAGCGCGTGGGTGGATAGGGATAACGAGGACTCGACCCGCTCCGTGGGCTTCGTCCCCCTATTCAGTCCCTATTTGGTCATTGATTGCACCTTCCCCATATGGCAAGCAAAGCAACAGGCAACTGACAAACATTCACTGTTCTAGTATAGGAAATCATCCATAATGTTTACTCAATCGTTGATCGCATTCGTCGCACTCGCCGGCTACATTGCCACCCCTGTTCTCGCCGTCCCAGGTGCCTCTTGGGTTCGTCGTCAAGAGGACGCCCAAACTTCACGCAGTGAGTGATCATTCTCTTTTTTGTTGTAGGGGATCGTCATGCGTGTGAAGCGCGCCTCCTAGCCCTTTTCACTCGGCACGGCTGTATCCAGCCGATACCCCTAGTGGGCCCCTTATCTTTCAACCGATATTTTTGTGATCAACAACCGGTTACTGACTTGTCTATTATTTCCTGGAAACTGTAGCTCTTGATCCCGCCGTCATCTCTCAAGGCTTGAAGCAAGATGGTCAGGGTGACAACCCCGATCCCGCACAAGTTCGCTCGGCCACCTCCAGCAACAACTTGTAAGCTCGAGTGCTATGCTGTGGGGCTCGGTCCTGACGTTCCTACTTTTAGCATCAACCACTGCCTCATTGCTCTCGACCAAGGTGTTCCCCTCACCAATGGTCAGCAAATCGCCACTGGCTCTTGCAGCCAGACCCCGATGGGCCGTATCGTCAGTCTTGACGTCGCCCCCCGCAGCAAGTTCGTCTTCCCCAAGAACGGAGACGAAAGCCTCGTCGAGAACCAAGCCTTCACCGTCCAGATGAAGATCTTGAACTTGGTCACCGGTAACTTTGTCAACGCCCAGACAAACTACTACTCTGCTCCTCAGCAAGTCAACGACCAAGGCATCCTCGTCGGTCACAGTCACGTCACCATCCAAAACATTCCCGACTTGCAGACCACCGAGCCCGTTGACCCCACCCGCTTTGCTTTCTTCAAGGGCTTCAATGATGCCGCTCAGGGTGATATTCTTAGTGCTACCGTCACCAATGGCTTGCCCGCTGGTGTCTACCGCATGTGCTCTATCAACACTGCTGCGAACCATCAAGTCGCTCTTGTCAGCAACGCTCAACACGGTGCTCTCGAGGATTGCTCCTACTTTACCGTCAAGGCTGCCGGTCAGACGAACAACAACAACAACAACTCGTCTACCTCTGCTTCCAACTCGAACACCGCTACTGCAACTGTTTCCCAGTCTGCATCCGCCACCGACTCGTCTTCGGCATCTGCTACTGCCACCGAGTCTGCCTCTGTCTCCAACGGTGCTAATGATTCGTCGTCGTCCGCTTCCGAGACTTCGACTGAAGCTGCTAGTGCCACCGAGTCTGCTGCTCCCGAGCAATCTTCCTCTGCTCAGGAATCCGACAGTGCTTCCCAGGAGCAACCCTCTGCGACTTTCAGCGAAAGCTCTGCAGCTCCTGAGCCCACTGACAACGGCAACGACAACAACAATAATGGAGACAACGGAAACAACAACAACAATAATGGAGACAACGGAAACAACAACAACAACAATGGCGATAACGGAAACAACAACAACGGAAACAACGGAAATGGCGATCAAGGCCAGAACAACGGCAATACCGATGGCAATAACAACAACAACAACAACAACGGCAATCAAGGAAACAATGACCAGAACAATGGAAACAACGGCAACAACGATAACAACAACAACAACAACCAGGGAAATAACGATCAGAACAATGGAAACAATGGTGAAAGCTCAAGCGCTGAACCTGCCCCCACTGAGAACACTGGTGCTCAAGATCCCGCTGCCGCTCCTTCTGCCGACTCTTCCTCTGAAGCCCCCGCTCCCGAGGCGACTCCTACCCCCGAGAACGGCAACAACGGCAACGGTGATAACCAGAACAATGGCGACAATGGTGCTCAGACCCCAGGAGGTGACAACAACGTCCCCACAGACCCAGCAGCCGACACCAACAACCAAGGAGGAGACAACCAAGGAAACAATGGACAGAACTAAAGTCCTAGATTCCTTTTCGTCCTTGAGTCGGCTGGCGGTGCTCTGAGAGCCCTTGTACTGGTTTGACAAAGCCTCATTCACCCTAACGATATCGTTTTCGTGCGATTTCTTTTTTACTTGATTTATTGGTCTATCTGTTGGTCGTTCTCGCGTCCATTTGTCTTACTTAGCTGTGCTCCATTATCTCTTCCCTTCATCTTTTACTACCTCTATCAATTACCCCCCCTCCTCTCTCTCTGATGCCTCTATCTTCTTCTTGACGGATTAGCAATTTGACTACTGCTTATTCTCGTCTTTTTGGTCTGTGACCTTCCCTTTTCATAGTGCTCTTGAACGCCCCCCAAGCTAGGCATGGTTTGTACGTCTAGTACTGTACGCTCTTTTGCTAGGTGTCCTCGAGTTCTCTTTGGAATGGATTGACTTGTCTGCCGCCTATCTTCTTGCGCATAAGAGATTCGGATGAGTGGGCGTACCCTGTCCCTATGCAATGGCTACGACAAGAATATGCATAAATACCAGAGAAGCATCCTGAGGAAATATCTAGAAACTTTATCGTAGCTAGTCTGTTTAAAACTATCCATAATGGTAGATCTGCATGCGAGTCTATTGGGAATTGCGCTAGTCTACGCACCTCTTCTGGGCAACGCCACTCGTAAATTAAACATAAAATGCCATCTTTTCCTATTCTTAAACCACAAAATCCATGTGTCTAGTTGTACAAACTGTCTACGCAGCTTGTGCTGGCAATCCTTTTTTTATTCTGGGCTGTCTCGGCAGGCGACGGACGGACACGCTGACTGACAGGCACCCAAGCAAGCCAACCCCTTCTCGACTCCGCGACCATATCCAAAATTCCACCTTTAATCTCCTCCCAAACCACGGACTCGGTTTAGACGTCGTTCTTCTCCCAACACTCACTCTTCTCTTCCGTTCTTTCGTTAAAGGCTTGATCGAATTATAAAAACTGCGGCGACGCGTTCCGGCCCCAAGCAATCTCCTAGACGTTGAGCCGGACTTTCCAGAAATAGAAAGCTCATATTGCACTACTATTAACCACCAAGAACCACCTGTTGAAATTCAAGTAATACTGTTGGCCGATTTTGTGTAGAATTGTTACAAGATGCCCTCTGCGCTGCACCTCCTCGCTCTCTTTGCCTTCAACTCTCTCTATGCAAGAGCCCAAATCCCATTATACAAATCTTTTGTTGGAAAACAATTTACGGAAGGATTCTGTAAGTCCCTTGTTCCAGCCCTCCACTATTTGGATCGGACATGCGAGGATTAACCGTCTCTTGTAGTCTTTTTCACAGACCGGGACCCCGCCAATGGAGTCGTAAAGTATGTTTATCAGAAATTCATCGAATATATCAAGTACTAACAGCCTTTCTAGCTACGTCTCAGAATCCATCGCAGAATCACAGAATATGGTCTCCTGGAGTAGGTCCATTCTACCGAACAAGCCCTTAATATACTGACAAGTATCGATATCAGCGGACACAACATTCACGATGAAAGCGGATAGCGAACACAACTCTATTCTTGGCAAGGGACGGGACAGTGTTCGTTTGGTCTCAAATGACGAGTTTGGTGACGGCGTCTACATCTTTGACATCAATCACATGCCAGTAGGCTGTGGAACGGTGAGTAAACTTTGAATCAAGTTATGACTATCGACTTTACTGACGATCCGGCTCTCGAACATTACAGTGGCCTGCTGCTTGGACGACTGCAACAAAGAACTGGCCCTATTCGGGTGAAATAGACGTGCTCGAAGGTGCCAATGCAAACTCCAACAGCTCCATCGCCAACCTGCGTACTCTTGGTCTCATCACTGCCAACTCCGCTCTCGCCAACATGGGCTCCACTCCTGGCAATACATCCTACTCTGGTCAAAATGCTGTCTCGCTACACACCGCTCCCAACTGCCCTCTCAAGGATAGACCAACAGGCACGATGACTGGGTTAGTCGGCCAGAGTGATTGCAGTGGTTTGTCGAACGGCAATTCTGGTTGTGGCGTCATTGTTCCTGGGAAGAGTTTCGGTGGTGATTTCAATACCAATGGTGGCGGTATTTATGCCATGTATAGGAATCTACACAAGTATGTATACTGCCCCCTCTCGTTTGAATCGTTTAGCTGACCTTGACTTTCTTCCTCTAGCTCCAGCATGGTTCAGACCTGGTTCTGGCCCAGAGATGTTGCTCCACCAGCAGATGTGGCTGTAAGTAGTATCACTTTTACCCAACTTGTCTCTGATCATCTTCCTCTAGAATGTCTCCTCCGCTACGGTCGATCCATCAACGTGGGGCACACCCGGTACGCACGAGTCATGTTTACGATACGAATAAATTATTTACAATTTCAAAAACAGTTGCTTCATTCACATTCCAAACCCCCGGCTGTGGAGGACAATTCCACAAGCACGTAATCGTTCTAAACATTGATTTCTGCGGTGACTAGTGAGTGTCCACATCGAAAAGGCATCCTATAGCTTGACTGATCATCCCTCATCTTCCTAGTGCTACGGCGACATACGCGGCCAATGGTTGCCCAGGAGAATGCGAGGCATTTGTCAAGTACAATCCTCAAGCTTTCACTGAAGCGTTCTTTGAATTCCGATCAGTACGATTTTATGGTAATTCGGCATTCGCCTCCTTCCAACCATCCTGGTTCGGCAAGGCCTTGTTCATGGCATTATTCCTGTTTCTCGCCTTTTAATCGATCAAGCCCAAGGTATTGCATACACAACACGGCTTTTCTAACCCAATACTTGAAGGACTAGTCTACTCTCCTTATAATTGTCCCTCCTTACATACCTACCTCAAAACCTCAATTGTATATTCACAGCCCGTAAACGGACATTCCTAGTGCGAAAGCGAATAGATGTGCATGTACTTAGCAGGATGAAAGGGCTAATTGACGCTATGATGCAAGGTTAACGGTTAAAAGATACTAACATTAACACACCGAAGTGCGACATCATCATGAACATGACAGAGACAAGGGACTATCAGTAAGCAAATAGGGCAATCAATCAAGCGGGGG